TTAGTCTAGAGATGCAGTGTTATTTTTAAATATATTTTAGGAGAACTTTTATCCATCACCTATGTGTTATCCTGATCTTTCAATTTTCTTAAGCTTTTCATATGGAATTTTAATAATTCTTATTCTATTTTTAAGTGTTCCCAGGACTTCATTTTTATTTAGTTATGATGGGGTCTACACATCAGGAGACTATAGCCATTGTAAACAAAATTTGTTACTTAGGGTTCCCAAGATGAGGGAGCAGGCCTCAGCCTGCAGGACCTCCTTGGTCAGGTGGCAAGATGAGTGAGGGGAAAGCATGGGCAAGAGCCTTGATTGTGGTTTTTGTAGGAGGGGATGCGCAAGGCAGCATAGACAAGCTGAGCAAACTTAAGTTTGGGTAGTTGGAAAGATTTCACTGGGCAGGGCTATAGGGTGGTCCCTAGTTGTCTAATAGCTGGCTATGGGGTGATTTAGGGCCTGAGGATAGAGTCCTAGACTGCAGGAGCCTGCAAACAGGAGGCTGATGGAGGGTATGGACTCTGCATTGGTTGGTTACATATCAAAGACATACTCTCGAACTAGCTAACCCTGGGAGGGTCAGTCCTTCCCTGAAGTCCACAAGGCCCTAAGATGTCAAAGCTTCATAAAATGTAGAAAATAAAAAGCCATTATATATTATGACTAATATATATTTCTAGGCATTTATTAAAATAGATTGAAAGTATACTTGCAAAGAGGAAGACTTTGAAGGCCTTAGATTTGTAACCCCCAAATAGCATATTCTTAAAATAGTAAGGATTTCACACTTAAACAACACTTACCTAATAGAAGTGGGTAAGTTGACAAGTTTAAGTTGTATTATGGTTGTAGAGATCTTCTCTTGAATGGTAAAAATAGTGAAAGCATAAATGTAGGGAAATTTCTGGAGGACATACAAGTTCAAGAAAGAAAAGTGCTTTAGAATTTTATTCAACTATATTGTCAAAAAAGCTTTTTGACTTCTTGCAATCCAGGAGACTAGGAATCTGTAATTTCCTCACTCTTCTGTTGAATGAGATGAACCACATAAAAATAAATGCCTAACAGGGGGCTAATTTAAGGATCTCTAATTTAACTGATAGATGATCTTACATTCTCTTCTTCCCATTCTTTACATTAACTTCTATCCAGATATTTGCCTTAAGCATCTTATGCAGTGATTTTTTTTATTTCTTCTTGAAATTAAGCTAAATCTATTAGGTGTGTTTTGTTTTTTTTAGTGTGGCTATATGGTGCCTCCTCCAACAGACTCATGGGAGGTGCTTAAAATGCAGATTATTTAGCATCAAACTGTATCAACAGACTTGGCTTCATCTGCCAAACATCACCATGAAGTCAGTTATCTCACCTAGTAAGTATGCGGCTGTGCCATCCAAGGCTGGTGAGCAGAGCCATGAAGTTTTTATGGACTAAAGCTGATGTTTCACCACTCAGCTATTCCTTGGCCATATTCCATGTTTTTGTGGTTCAATCAAATGTACATGCCTTGCTGCGAGGCCAGCTAGGAAATCTAGGGCTTTAAAAAAAATTGATATTGCTTCTCCAAATAAAATTCTGCAATGGGATATTGGGGTAGGTAATTAGCAATCCTCCATACTTAGCAAATTAGAATTCCCAGAGGTGAGGCCTAGAAATTTGCAATTTACCAAGCCCCATGGGTGATCTGATTTATACTAAAGTTGAGGACAGCTGTTATGTCACAGAATTGCAGGGATAGGGCATGGACCCAGATATTTCTGCATCAAAGGTTTCATTGTTATGTTATCCCCCTATCATTTTACATAGGGCTCAGTAGTTGAGTGTTGACCCATGAATCAAGAGGTCACCGGTTCCATTCCTAGTCAGGGCACATGCCCGGGTTGTGGACTCAGTCCCCAGTAAGGACCATGCAAAAGGCAGCCTATCAATGATGTTTCCCTCTCATCTCATGTTTCTCTCTATATATCCCTCACTCTTCCTCTCTCTCTAAAAAAAATAAATAAAAACACATTAAAAAATAAGAAAATCAGAGAAATGAATGGAATTGTGTTATAACATGTAACTCCTTTTACCTTCTTAGTAGTACAGTATTAAACTGTGAAATTCAGTACATATCAAATTTACACTCAGATGGTGCTAATTTGATGCATTATCTTTTAAACTTCTTTTACTGAGAATAATACACTTATTTTATGAAAAATTATGCAAGTAAGTGCAGGGGACGGGGAATGTGCAAGTAGCAGTACAGGCTATTCTCACATCGCTTTATTGGTTACTATTATGGTAGTTGTTTAAGAAATTGTTATACTTTTAACAGTACCTATAATTCTAACGTGTTAAATACTAGAGTGTAATGCTGGAGCAAGTTTATAATAGCTTGATAAATTAGTAGCACAATGAGTCATAAACTTGATGCCTAAAAATAGCAAAAATACTCATGTGGTTACAAATTATAGCCCTCCTACATGTAAAACCCAAGACACATTACAACATCACATTATTACCTAAATCAAGCTGTATAAAGTGTTAAATGGACATATAATCATCCTTTTAGAACCAATGATTGGACTTAAAGTTTGGGTCTTGATCTATCAGCCGCCAACCATATCAGCTTGTTAGAAGAGCTTCATCTCTGAAGTGCACAACGAGATTTAAGGATTTTTGTAAACGGTTTTACATGCACTAATTAGAAATTATGCATTTTCATACAATCACCTTGAGCAAGAATACTCAGTGCGTGGGAAAAACTAAGCACTTATACTTGGAAAAGTAGGCACCAATTGTCCTAGTGCTTGATGTGGTTTGTCATTGTGAAATTTATATTTTTAGTTTCAAACAACATTAAGAAACATTTACATTATTTAGTAAGTAGGGTATGAACATAAAATATTGAGACAAACCTTAATAAACTAAAGGAAACCAGTGATTAAAATCATAAGAGAAAGCATCTCTGGCCTGTATTAGGGCTGTGCTATGGTACTTCCTGCCTTGGGTCTGTTTGGAAACATGGGGACATATGGAGCAGTGTATACCCAGAAAATACTTGGCTAACAGATCAGATAGCACACTAGATAACCAATCAGCCTAGGATATTTGAGGAACTTTATTTCCCTGGGGTTTTATTTTCTCAGCTACAAAATAAGAGAGGTTTGACTAGATAATACAGGTTGTTGTCTTCCAGTTATAATATTGTCCACTTAAGTGTTTTGTCAGAAAAGCATGAAAGTGTTCTCCTCCCTCCAGTAAGAAATAGCCACAGGACTGGTCAAAGAAGGTGGTGCTGCTTAAGAGTTCTCCTACCATCTGAACTACGTCCTCAGACCTATTAAGAGGAAGATCTCTCGCCCAGTCAGTGTGTTAAAAGGAAGATCTCTCGCCCAGTCAGTGTGGCTCAATGGTTGAGTGTCATGGTCCGATTCCTGGTCAGGGAAACATGCCAGGGTTTTGGGCAGGATCCCCAATAAGGAGTGTGTAGGAGATAGCCGATCAATGATTCTCTCTCATCATTGATGTTTCTAACCCTCTCTCTGAAATCAATAAAATAAAATGAAATAAAAAAGAGGAAGATCTCCCAGGTCCTGCTGAGTTTCCATATTGCTGTAAACTTTAATTTTTAACAGACCCACACCACACAAAACAGAACTTATGCAACTGTCTTTGTAGTGAATAACTGTGGCTTTCTTCTCTGCCCAGTCCTCTCCTGTCATAGGACACAACCCAGGAGCATTCAGCGTTGCAGGAATTTCACTTGTGTATTTGTGGAAAGTAGAATCTCAGAATAATAAAGATTTTTGGGGACTAAACTTATTATTTTTATCCTTCCATTATTCCATTAAGCAATATCTAAAATTACATAATGGCATAGTAGAATTTGAAGGAGAAATATATTAATTCAGGGTAGCTTTGCATTTGTTACTATCAATAAAATGTAGGTAAAGCATGTTTTTCATCATGTGTTTTACTGGAAAATGTCCTATCGCAGTGTTTTTAACCTTGGTCAGAGTTATAAATCTCAGGTTAGTGTTGATTGCCACTCATGTTTTCTTAGTCCTCTACTCAGTAACTTGGCCGATTGAAGATATAAGCTTTAAAAGTCAAGGCAACTGCAAGTTCAGAATGGCTGGCATCATATTCCCATAGGTGTGTGGGAGTCAGGAGACCCAGGTTCGAGTCCCATCTTCTTTAGTCATTGCTACTGAATCCTGGTCAAGCAGCTCTTTGTGTGTTTTTTCATCTGTCAGATGAAGATAAGGACCTTTCTACTCCAAGAATAGTGTGATATCAGATAGTAAGAGCATGCTTTGCAAAGTCCTATATGATATGGTAAGCAGTAGATTTTTCCCCCCAAATTTTTAACCTTTAAATTATTTTAAAAGTACAGTATTTGAAGAACTCTGTAATTTGATCCTTCTGTTAATAGCACAACCATGGTGCCACTTTTTGTTCTAAAGTAATAGGTTTGCATGTGTCTGCCTTCTTAAAAAAGAGCAGTCTTGTATATTGAGTCAAAATCCGGTGGAGATGTGAAGGAAAGAAAAATTTTGAGCATGAAATCCTTTATCTCATGTCAGTCCTAATCTTTTTCGTTAACATTTAACCCACTATACTTATCTTCTTCCTGCATGCTTCATTTTCTCCTATTCTTGTCTCTTCTTCCTCTCTTCCCAGCTTTCTTTTTCCCTTTAGTACCTCTCTTCTCTTAGACCCAGGAGAGAGGAAAGTGATGGACTCTCTACTTTAAGTACTGACCTTGATGGTTATGGAGACTGTGTTGTACAGGGGCAGGACAAAAATGAGTTACTTGTGTACTCAGGCCACATGATCAGCCACTCTGCTTTGTGAGTCAGCTCTGTGTGTATGTCCTTAATCTCACAGTTTATGTTGCTGTGGAACGGGAGATACGTGTTTATAGCATTATTCTTAGGGTCAGAGGGGTTATATCTAAATTGGGACCCTGTTTAAAATAGGAATGTTTAACCTCTTATTATATTTTTTTCTAGGGCAGGAGCGGTTTGGCAACATGACCCGAGTCTACTATAAAGAAGCTGTTGGTGCTTTTGTAGTCTTTGATATATCGAGAGGTTCCACATTTGAGGCCGTCTTAAAATGGAAAAGTGACCTGGACAGTAAAGTCCATCTTCCAAGTGGTGGCCCTATTCCTGCTGTTCTCTTAGCTAATAAATGTGACCAGAAAAAGGAAGGTAGCCAGATTCCTGCCCAGATGGACCAGTTCTGCAAAGAACATGGCTTCACTGGATGGTTTGAAACCTCCGCAAAGGTGAGATCTGTTTTGCCTGGGATCCGCTCTGCTGTGAGCTTGTAAATATAAAGTATTTAGGTGGACTTAGGTGAGTGCTGGTTGGAAGGCTGGAAAAAAGTTCAGTCAACAGCAGCAATGCTAATGCTTTCAAAATTGGTTAGTGGGAGGTGAATAGGACAGATTTCACATTAAAATGAAAATGAGCTATTATTCAGAGTAAATAACAAATGCCATTTTCTGTGAGCTGAGTCTTTGAGTGAAGTCTCATGCACCTAGAGTTTATGGGATGAAGCACAAGCATTTTTTAAAATTTTCCAGAAGGCTAACAAACCTAGGACCATGTCCCTTGTGAAGATGTAGTTCATGTGCAAGGCTAGCAAAGGCATTGAAAAAGTCAGAGAGATGAATTTGGATGACATTTGACGAGTTTTATATTAACTGTGTATGAAATAATTTGAAAAGGAAGAAAGTATCAATATTTGTGACATGTTTCTTCATGAATAGTAGAGTGAGAATTTTTCTTTGACCTATATGGGAAGCTGGATAAAATGTTTTTTTGATCCTTCATGGTGTGGTAGCTGAGTTGGTTAGAGTGTTGACCCAATATGCTAAGGTTGCAGGTTTGATCCCTGGTCAGGGCACATACAAACATTAACCAATGAATGCATAATTAAGTGGAATAAGTTGATGTTTCTCTCTCTCTCTCTCTCTCTCTCTCTCTCTCTCTCTCTCTCTCTCTCTCCCTCCCTCCCTCCCTCTCTCCCTATATCCCAGTGATGGTGAACCTATGACACGCGTGTCAGAGGTGACACACGAACTCATTTTTTTGGTTGATTTTTCTTTGTTAAATGGCATTTAAATATATAAAATAAATATCAAAAATATAAATCTTTGTTTTACTATGGTTGCAAATATCAAAAAATTTCTATATGTGACAGGGCACCAGAGTTAAGTTAGGGTTTTTCAAAATGCTGACACGCCGAGCTCAAAAGGTTCGCCATCACTGCTCTATCCCTCTCTCCCTTCCTCTCTTTCTCAAACCAATAAATAAAATAAGCACACACACATAAGTCACTTTTGAGAGTCTTAACAGCCTAGATATGCAAGAAAGCAAAGGTGAAAATCACAAGCACAAAGTATTGGAGGGTGGAGGGTGCTTGTTTGTGTGTTGGAAGTTTCACTTTAGAGGTCAAATAGCAATCAGACTTATGTTTGAGAAATTCTGTGATGACAAACTCAAAACCATTGGTGTAATCCTAGCACAATTCCAGGTTTTAGTATGCCTTCTGTGAATTTCCTATTTATATATTTTAAAAAAAACATTGTACTTACTAATCACCTACGTACTACCAGGTTGTTTTTAGCTTCACCCAAAACTCACTCTAAAAGTGGAAGATTGTTTGGTGCCTCTTATGATCAGAATAACATTGAGTGATGATGGAGTCATGGGGAAAAATAGTGTCCACTGGAGGTTAAACAGAGAGGTAAACGTAGAAATAGATCTTGATGTGCATATGGATACACACAAGTATCTACTGAATGTCTGTTGAGAGGGCTTAGAAGCAATGACACCACAGAACCAATAGCTTACAGAGTTCTCAGTAATTTTAAATGCTGCTGTTCTCCAATAAAAAGAACCAGGGTTTCCTGGAGAAATGACTGGTTTCAGGACCATGGGACAAGCAAGTGAAGACATGCCTGAGATATTTTGTGGTGCCAGAAAGTAAGAAACTCAAAATGTGATGGAGACATATCACAAAGGCACAGGAGCCTGCCTATAGGAGCCCCCTTATCTAAGACAATTTGAGCAAAAAGTAAATAACATTGTAATATTATGTACACAGAATAAAATAATAATCTGTGATATGAATAAATAAGTGGTAGAGAAGAGAATTGTAGAATTACAGCTGATAAATGTAGAAGGAATTATGGAAATAGAAAATTACCATTAAACACCACAGCAATAATTGTTTTAGGGAAGAATTGATTGAAGCTAAAATTAATAGAAAAAAGTATGGTGAAACATAGAATATCTACATATTTTACTTACTAAGTACATAGGGAAGAAGAGGAATCTTTCAGGGAGAAACCTGAGAGATAGAACTTTAAGCAAGTGGGCCTTATACACTGACAAAGACATCACTCATGCCTTATTCCTGTCCAAAATGCATAACGAACTTAATGCCAAGGAAGCATCAAGCAGACCCAAATTAAGGGATATTCTCTGGCCAGTACTCTCTGAGAATGTCAAGTTCATGAAAGTAAGGAGACTAAGGAACTGTTCCAGATTAAAGGAGACAGGAGACAGGACCACAAAATTCAGCTGCTCACTTGGACAGTTGGTATAATTTGAATAAGGTTGATAGAATAATGCTGATAACACTATTATCTAATTTCCTGATTTTGATAGTTGTACTCCATTTATCTAAGATGTTAACATTTGAGGAATATGGGTGAAGGGTGTTTAGGAATTTTTACTATTATTGCAATGTTTTTATAAATACAATTATTTTAAAATATTAAGTTAAATATTTTAAAAATCACAGATTTTGCTATGTGTTACTGATTGTCTACTTGATGACAACTTATAAATCTATTACACAAATGTGATAGGTAGTGATTCTTTAGGATAGTGTAATGGACATCACACCTACAACATTGTTTCAGGTCAATTTACATATGGCATCTAATATTAATAATTCACACTAATAATACAGGAGAGGGGGCATGAGGACTATATAAATCAACTAAGTCCAGGGCCTGTCTCGTGCTGCCTGACATGGAACTGGGCTGACCAGAGATTTAAGCAGACCAGGAAGAGCCTCTGGACAGGGAAAACTCCTACAAGGATTGATGAATAGCTCCTCACTCGTACATTACCGTTTACCCATACCTTAAAGCAGTGGTTCTCAACCTTCTGGCCCTTTAAATACAGTTCCTCATGTTGTGACCCAATCATAAAATTATTTTCGTTGCTACTTCATAACTGTAATGTTGCTACTGTTATGAATCGTAATGTAAATATCTGATATGCAGGATGGTCTTAGGCGACCCCTGTGAAAGGGTCGTTCGACCGCCAAAGGGGTCGCGACCCACAGGTTGAGAACCGCTGCCTTAAAGGGAAAGCACAAGGCCACAAAATATCCGTGGTAATGGTTAAAGTTAATCCCAACTTTTCCCACTCTCTATTTCCCCATAGCAGCAATTTTCCATAGAAACTATAACCAGATATAAGCTTAACCTCTAGAGATGGTTGGAGTCTCTTCTTCTCTCATGAGACTCCACAAGAGAAGGAAACAAGACTACTCTGTGGAGTGGCTTTTCGTGCTTGTCCTCTCTGCTCAATAAAACCTGCTTTTCCACGTCATCCTCTTCTCTGTCTGGCTCGTGTCTTGAATTCTTACCTGTGCGAAGCCAAGAACCCCTCTGGCATCACTCAGAGATGGGGGAGCAACATGATGGATTTATCCTATTTTAATATGGTGTGGCCCCTTGACCTTTTTCTTCATAATGTATCCAGAATACTTGAATTAGATGTTGAAGGGCAGGGATGTTTTTCATTTCATTGCTTCCATTTATATGAGTGGCAACCCAGAGGCGGGTGAATATTTATTTGCAACCATCAAAATAGTTTTTTGAACCTCAGTGGCAAAAAGTTTAAAATAGGAACATCCAAAAGGGTGATCTTTTGTAAAAAGAAGAGGGTTCCATAGCCACATTACTCAGTAGCACTGAACTCTTGGCTAACACTAGTGTTGGAGAAGCTGATAGCTGGGTACTTACAGTGTCCCCAATGAGGAACTTTCCTAGTTCCTGTGAATATTCTTCAAGCATTATTCTGTGGATTAATCCTCAGAATTGATCCTGTTCCTTATTTCTGCTCTACAGGACAACATCAACATAGAGGAAGCAGCCCGCTTCCTGGTGGAGAACATTCTCATGAACCAGCAAAGCTTTCCCAATGAAGACAACGATGGGGACAAAATTAAACTGCACGAGAAGGCCTTGCCAGCAGAGAGCAAATCCCAGTGTTGCTGATGTGGCTTCAGCTCCTCTCCTGCTCACCAGATGCAGCCTGACTTGATTTCTCCATTTGGAGCAAATTCCTGAGAAGGGATTGAGGTGGTGGATGCCCTGCTCTGAGATCTTCCCAGAGCTGTGCTTAACGTGACCGTGAGGGCACTCTGGGAGCCTTAGCTGAAGTGGGTGTCGGTGTCTATCCTGAGCATGGCTCTACACCTTAGAGTGAGCACTTGGGCTTCTCTTGTTGTTGCTGCTGTCAGGTGCAGGATAATGTTTACATCCTTCTTAACATCTTTGAAAATGACAATGCTCAAGATTTGGTACGAGTTGCAAGTTGTGGCTTTTAGTGTAAGCACTGGGGTGGTAATGAACTTTCCCAGCAGTCTTACAGTAATTGTACGAGCCTATATTTTTGTATTCTATCTTCACTTTTGAGGGAGGCTTTTAGACTGTTAGCCACAGAAGGCTTGAAGTTTCTGTTTAGCAAGGTTTTCCCCCTCAAAACTTCTAACTGGAGCTACTTTTATCAGATCTATAACAGTCATGGTCAAGGAAAGGAGTTATTCAAAGGTTAGACCCAAGGTCCCATAGTATGAATTGTGAGAGAAACAAGGTTATGTGGTTTTATATAAAGTTCTGGGCATTTAAAATATAATACATGAGGAAGGTACGTCTGGCTCACAATATTTGTATTACCATTCAATCCAATTCAGAACAGAATAAATATTTTGACTGATGTCTTTGTTTTGAATTAATGTAGCTCTACCAGGTAATATGGGGTATATTTTTATGCCTTAGAAAACTTTGTCTGTTTACTTTTACTTTTATTGTTAAGGAACTTAATGATAATCATGTGAAAGGTACAACTTCTCTTTTTCAGAGGGATATTTAAAGGTGTTTGTGACATAATCCAAAGCTAATATGAAATGAGGTATAAAAAATGTCTTATACATTATTATGAACTTGGATAGGAATGATCCATGCATTTATTAATAGCAGAGAAAAAAGCTAGCACAGTATTACACTTGATCTGAGAGGCACAGAATTATACTTGATCTGAGAATAAATAGTACTCATGGTCCGTAAAATGGAGCTCATTCTTCTCACCAACTGAGCTTTGCCTGGGAATCACAAATATGTTTACACTAGAGGCCCAGTGCACGAATTCGTGCATGGCCAGGGTGAGGGGCCTTGGGTGGTTGACAGGCATGCGCTGCACCCTGGTCGAACTCCAGTCAAACTCATGGTCACGGGGACAATTTGCATATTACCCTTTTATTATATAGGATGTTACATTTTTAAGTAACTCTTTGACCTTTTCTGACATGTATTCAAGGTCCTTGAGAAAGCTGGCAGAGGCTTATTTAGCTTTCAAACCAATTTACATACATAAAGAGAGAATCTACAAGTTTCAAGTGAAATACTCTCAGAAAAGGTGGGGAGGAGGCAGGGGTGGGTAAAGTCTCTTCCCTTATTTTCAACAGGGAGAATTAAGCCTTATTTTTAATTTGTATTTTCCCTTACAATCAACCCAGGGTAAACATTTGCTTATGTATACAAGGGAGAATATAGAGAAGCCCATAGCTTGCATATACATGTAAAAAAAAATATAACAGTAGCAATAGTAAATAACAATAACTAAATGCTTAGCTATAGGGGGAAAATAAAATGCACAAGTGTATATTATTAAGAAACAAAGTTTAGCCAAGTAAATTGGAAGGTCTAATTGTCTGTATTAAACAATTCATGAGTCCAGCAGCATTCCATTGAGCAAGTAGAAGAGTTCTCCAAAGGGCTATACAAAAAGGGACAGTTTTAATAAGAAAGGGAGCTATTAACAAAAGAAGAGAAAGGATCATTTTTAGACCAAGACATTTTGGGGGAGTGGTGCACAGCCAGAGTTTTTTATATGCAAATTGCCTCTTTTTTCAATGGGAGATGGGGGTTGGGGATGAGAAGGCCCAGGTCACACATTACCTCATTGACCAGAGAATTTCGGAGTGGTTAACAAAGATTACCTTTCTGAGCCCTGGCCTGTTTGGCTCAGTGGATGGAGCCTCAGCCTGGGGACTCAAGGGTCCCAGGTTCGATTCCGGTCAAGGGCATGTACCTTGGTTGCGGGCACATACCCAGTGGGGAGTGTGCAGGAGGCAGCTGATCCATGTTTCTCTCTCATCGATGTTTCTAACTCTCTATCCCTTTCCCTTCCTCTCTGTAAAAAATCAATAAAATATATTTTTTTTAAAAAAGATTACCTTTCTGAGAGGGACTGAAACAGCAATAGGTCAGGTATTAAATCTAAGTTTGGTGTCATAGGCTTTAGCATAAGTGATGGTATTTGGGGCCTGTGGTTTGTTCTTTAACAATACCCATACAAGGAGATACTGTGCAGCAGTATTGTAGCATTTAAATAAAAATGTGTCTTAAAAATTAAAGGCTGTGTGAGCCATTCAGAAAGATAAATACCAAATTCCTTATTGCAATTACCTCAAGTAAAGGCTAGAATTGTGGGTGTTGGTCAAAGCTGATTTGGGCTTTTTAGATAAGGTTTACATTTTTATGGTACAGTTTCATTTTAAACCTATCAGTATATTCCCTGCACTGTCACTGAAATCAAAAGGAGCCTTCCAATTGGGAACATAATACTTTTAAAATTTAAAAAACACTTTTTTTTCCTCATTTATTTATTGGTCTTCCTTTACAATCAACACTTTGAAGGTTTTTTTAAAATTCTTTATTGTTTAAAGTATTACATATACTATCACATACTACTCCTTTTTCCCCCATTGACCTCTCCCCGGCCACCCCCACCCCCTAGCACATGCCCTCACCCCCCTACTGTCTGTGTCCATGGGTTATGTTTATATGCATGCATACAAGTCCTTTGGTTGATCTCTTACTGCCCCCCCCCCAACCCCCTGCCTTCCCTCTCTGGATCTATTTTTGTTCATCAGTTTATGTTGTTCATTATATTCCACAAATGAGTGAGATCATGTGATATTTATCTTTCTCTGACTGGCTTATTTCGCTTAGCATAATACTCTCCATGTCCATCCATGCTGTTATGAATGGTAAGAGTTCTTTCTTTTTTACAGCAGCATAGTATTCCATTGTGTAGATGTACCACAGATTTCCAATCCATTCATCTGCTGATGGGCACTTGGGCTGTTTCCAAATCTTAGCCATTGTAAATTGTGCTGCTCTGAACATAGGGGTGTATATATTCTTCCTTATTGGAGTTTCTGATTTCTTGGGATATATTCCTAGAAGTGGGATCAATGGGTCAAATGGGAGTTCCATTTTTAAGTTTTTGAGGAAACTCCATACTGTTTTCCGCAGTGGCTGCACCAGTCTGCATTCCCACCAGCAGTGCACGAGGGTTCCTTTTTCTCCACATCCTCACCAGCACTTTTGTTTGTTGATTTGTTGATGATAGCCATTCTGACAGGTGTGAAATGATATCTCATTGTTTTGATTTGCATCTCTCAGATGATTAGTGACTTTGAGCATGTTTTCATATGTCTCTTGGCCTTCTGTATGTTCACTTTCGAAAAGTGTCTAAGTCCTTTGCCCATTTTTTTTTGATTGGGTTGTTTATCTTCCTTTTGTTAACACTTGGGTTGCGAGAAACGAGTTAAGTCGGCTCACGTGAATTGCGCGTACTCCGCGGGAGCCGTCTTAAACTCGGTTCATATAGATTTGCGGTGGAGTGCGGGAAACGTGTAAACTCGGGCCGATTGTAACTGCGTATTACCAAATATTTCATTTCAATCGAACCCATACTTCAAAAGATATAGGCATTTTAACGCGCCATCTTATATTTTGGCGGGAAATTCACCCGACACCGTAGTGTTAAGATGTATGAGTTCTCTATAAATTTTGGAGATTAGACCCTTATTGGAGATAACATTGGTAAATATGTTCTCCCATGCAGTGGGCTTTCTTGTTTTGTTGGTTTCTTTTTCTGTGCAGAAGCTTTTTATTTTGATGTAGTCCCATTTGTTTATTTTCTCCTTAGTTTCCATTGCCCTAGGGGCTGTATCATTAAAGATATTGCTACGACATATGTCTGATATTTTGCTGCCTATGAACACTTTGAAGTCCTTAACAGGTAACATTTCACCTTTTTATTTCTTAAACCGCTGTATTGAGGTATATTGACATACAAGAACTTACACTTATTTACAGTATGGTAAGTTTTCTATATCTGTGTACACCCATGAAACCACTTAAGATAATGCATATAGCCATTACCCAATCCCCCCATGATTTATTTATTGAATTTCCTCATGATTTATTTATTAAATTTATTGGGGTGACATTGGTTAATGAAATTTCCAATGGAAATTTCAGGGGTATAATTCTATAATACATCATCTGTATATTGCATTGGGTGTTCACCACCTCAAGTCAAGTCTCCTTCCATCACCATTTATTCCCCCTTTACCCTCTACTATCTCTCCCAAATCCCCCCTTCACCTTGGTAATAGCCATACTGTTATCCATCTATGAGAAAAACCACTTTTAATTATCTTTATTTTTTACTACATTTAATAACACCGCCTATGATTTTGACCTTCTTGGTACATATATTAGTTCACTTGCTAAATCAGTTAACTTTCCTAAGATTAATAGCTGGAATTATTCAGCTCAGAGTTAAAAATGTACATTTACATTCACATAGGGTGAATGTTTTATTATTGCTCACTTTAGCCAGTGTTCAAGAATGGACAATTTGCCCAGCCGACATGGCTCAGTGGTCGAGCATCAACCTATGAACCAGGAGGTCACGGTTCGATTCCTGGTCAGGGCACATGCCTGGGTTTCGGGCTCAATCACAGTGTGGGACATGCCAGGAGACAGCCAATCAGTGATAATCTCTCATCATTGATGTTTCTATCTCTCTCTCTCTCCCTCTCCCTCTCTGAAATATATATATATGACAGTTGTGCAATTTAAGGAGCAGTCTTAATATGCATGTGAAATTATATGAACTACCCATTTCTTTGTACAGGATTTTGTATTCAAAGATGAATATATAAAGCCACCATTCTTATTTTATTTTCCAAGCTGTGTGTTTATGCTTGTATGGAAGAGGTAGAAATGTGAATGATATAGGTTAGAGTTACATATTTTAAAAAAACTGCTAGAATGTTAGTAATTCAATCTACTGCCTCCAAACTATTACCTAAATACCATCTGGTATTGCCCTACAAGTCTATTAGCATTTCCCATATCAAACCCATATCTTTGAATTTTCTTTTCACTGCCAAACCTGCCCTAGAGGTTTAAGTGTTTATATACAGGTTGCTCCCATTAGCTCGAGGTAGAGCATTCCTATGAAACCTTTCCTAAGCCAAATGGAGGAAAGCGAAGAAGCAATTACCATCAATTTATATGGAAAAACTTTTGAGCTGTCCCAGACCCAAAAATTAACTTACCAAATCATGCTAAACAACACATACAACCTAAAATAACACTGACCTGTAGTGAAAGCAGGAATGCACAAAATAAATGGAGATGAAGCATAGGTGCTCACAGTCACAGTTTGCAGTGATGGCGAACCTATGACACGCATGTCAGAGGTGACACGCGAACTCATTTTTTTTGGTTGATTTTTCTTTGTTAAATGTCATTTAAATATATAAAATAAATATCAAAAATATAAGTATTTGTTTTACTATGGTTGCAAATATCAAAAAATTTCTGTATGTGACACGGCACCAGAGGTAAGTTAGGG